TGCTTGGCTGCTACCCAAAAGGTTGACGGTTTGAACCCGGCAGCTGGTCTTTAGAAGAAAGATGTGGCAGTCTGCTTCCAAAAGGCTTCACAGCCCTAGACACACGATGGGGCAGTTCTACTTCGTCCTACAGGGCTCCTGTGAGTCAGAATGGACTCAAAAGCAATGGGATTTTGACTTCTGGTAAATATATGCTTCCTTTTTGAGGGATTGCCAGTCTGTTTTCCAAAGGGCGGCACCATTTTCCATTCGCACCGACTGTACGTGGAGTGCCAGTTCTTTGCCTCTTCACCAAACGTGTGATCATCAGCCTCTTTGATGAGACTCAGCCTGGTGGGAAGGAGCCGTGAGGGCATAGCACTTACTCATCGGGCTGCTAACTGCAAGGTCAGCTGTTCAAAATCACCAGTCACTCCACAGGAGAAAGAAGAGTTTCTACAGTGGAAAGCAGTGGCTCTCAACCTTCCTAATGCCGCAACCCTTTAATACAGTTCCTCATGTTGTGGTAGCCCCCCCAACCATAAAACTATTTTCATTGCCACTTCATAACTGTAATTTTGCTACTGTTATGAATTGGGCGACCCCTGTGAAAGGGTCATTTGACCCCCAAAGGGGTTATGACCCACAAGTTGAGAACAGCTGGTGTAAAGAGTCTTGAACTCTCAGAAGAATGTACTTCAGAGGACAGCACTGAAGCTGCAGCTTGGGGAGAGGGACAACTCTGATCAGAGCACATGGAAGCAAATGAAGGGGGAGAAAGAGAGAGTGGAGCACATCCTGGCTCACCAAGCCTGGAGGATGATAGATATCCCTGCTCAGAGCAGCCAGTACACAGAGTGGACCATATGGCCAGCCCCACTATGAGACTCGATGTCCCTCGCTGACCCATGGCCCTACAGGGGACAACACTGGAGACATACTGTCGGGATTGGCCCAGTCTGACCCCATCATACTGAGGCAAAACACTAAGGATATATGGCAGAGCGGCAGCGGGGAGCAGAGCAGGGAGGTCCTGAGGGAGTGCCAAGGATAGACTTTGGCGCCAGGGCATGGCACCCCATTAGACTCAACTGGAGGACACTCCTAGAAGTCAACAGACAGACTTTGAACTTGAGATAGTTTATTGTGCCAGCCTGGCTGATAAACGCAGGTGGGATTGACTGAGGGGCGGAGAGATGGATGGCTTGGT